GTTCGGTGGGGTTTGAACCCGCGTAGTAGAGAAGACCTTTAACGGAAGCCAAGGCTTTAAACACCTGAGCTACAAACGCCCCAACTTGCGCTTCACGTGGCTAGGGCGTTGGCTTCCGTTAAAGGTCTTCTCTACTACGCGGGTTCAAACCCCACCGAACGCCTCGAGTTTTTTTAACAATTGGATCAACTCAAATTAAGCAAATCTGCCAAACCTCCTAATAATTCTCAAAGATTCACATAGGACACTTAGGATGCGAAGCGTCGCTTAAACTGAACACCGCATATTAACTGTTCCCATCCTATTAGATTGCATCTAGTGGGACGTAACGTCTTATTAGTGAATATCATATTTATTTCCATTCTCGGCGCATGGAGAAAGATACATTTCGCTGGCCGTGAAAATATACAGATAAGGATACCGTCGTCAGTATCTAGAGAATCGAGGCAAAAATGATTTTTTTATGCTTCAATGCTAAAAAGGATGTTTATAAAATAATTTTGGGGACTCTAACTCAAAGGTCTACTGTTTAAAATTAATTAAGTAGAGAGAAGTGCGGAATGGTTTTGGAAGTCAGGTACATCTAAATTTAGGAGACTTATTCGTTTCCCTCTTTGTTTTATTAATTCAAGGATGAAGAAATGTTGCTTGGCTTATAACAGCATTGTAGAAAATCCAAGATGCTGAGATTGATCTTGAGAGTTTCGGTGGATTCTTAAATTTTCTTCAAGTAATCCTACTAGGGAAGAGCCTTGAAATGTAAAAATAACATATCAGTATCAGAATTTTTCATTATAAAAAGCCCGCGCCTGTAATCTTCATTTGAGGCATATACGCGTACTTACTTCACAAACGTTTATGTAATTATATAAGTTGCATTAAGAGAAACCGCAAGCCATCGAGAGTTATCCCCCGATTATGCAGTGAAAAGCTATAAAAAATGTTGCCTCTTGGTAATGCGAAATAGCGTTTTTATTCATATACAGATCTTATTGCTACAGAAGGATTTAAAGCCAGCTTATGAGAGCGTACCTGGCCTAGAAGAACTTATGCCCTCGGAATACAATGGAGGCAACTGTTCATTTGAGGAAATCTACGGTAAGAGTGAATTTGCAAGTTTCATGGTTTCGAGTGTAGCCTTAACACCTTTACAATTTCACTCAAGCAGCATCAGTAGTAAGTCATGAATGTGGGAGAACTCATATAAACTGAATTATAAGCCTCTTTATGTTGATTCAGAAATGTACTGACAAGATACTTTAAAAAGGTCACGGTCTACCAAAATTGACGCCAAAACTGGTAAACCGTAGATGACATAAAAACTGTTTAATAGTTTAACTACCAAGTCTTTGTTTTTCAGAGCATAAATGG